GGTGCTGTGATACTGCAGGGTGCATGCACAGCCCAGTGCTAGCCAGAAGCAGCTCTGTTTGCATGTGATGGACACATGCCTGTCGTGAGACTATGAAGACAAACACTAGCAGTCACATTATCTCTGTGCCTGGTGCTGCTATGGGTGCCACTGAGTGCTGCTGGAGAGCTATGGGCTATCATGTGGACACATCCACACCGCTAAAAGGTTGTTGGCAAATTGGTGATCATGTAGACAAAAAATGATATGAAGGAATGGAAGATTGAACTATAATCAGAAGTGTAGCAAAGGGGAGCCAGAAGAAAAAAATCTCCCCAGGCTGCCTTTGCAAGGGTTGCCAAAAAGCAGCACATACACCCAAGATGTGCCAGATGTTGCTGCTGCTGCCCAGGAATGGGTCTTCAGGTCTGTGGCGACATCATGAGCAGATGGCAATGGCTGGGAGGAGCGCAAGGAAGGGTGGGAGGAAAGGAAGAGAGACCCAGCTGCCAAAATGTCTTGCCTTGGCTCTGCTCACAGTAAGGGACCTGACTCAGGTTTTGAGTGTATCAAAGAGAACTTTAAACGTTGACTTGCTTGCATGTGATCTACAAGCACGCATCAAATGAGGCATCTTCTAATATCGATTCAATGGAAAGAAATGGGAGCTAGAGCAGCTCAAGCAGAATTTAAGTGTAGGCTTGTGAAACTGGGGGCAGAGAGGATCTACCACCAGAAGGGCTCACCAGGGGTCTCACACACTTGCCACCATTTGCTATCAAAATGGAATCTTTCCAAAGGAGTGCTCCCGGTCAGCCATGGTGAGACGCAGAATCACAGGGTGAAATTTTATGGCCTGTGTCACACAGGGGTTAGGCAAGCTGCTCCTTCTGGCTTTACAATGCATCAATCTATCAGTCTTTCTTGAAACAAAGAAGAATCTGGACTGAAAGGATTTTATCAAGTCCAGCAGTCAAACCCTGGAAATGGTATCTCAATTCATTTGCTCAAGCTGTGATGAGGTGTACAGAGGAGGTAAGAGACCATGAGAAAAAGGCTGGTCTTGTCAGAAAAGCCTATGGCTATGAACCAGGTGAGAGGGTTTTACATCTAGCTCTGCCACAAAGTCCCAAAGCCATGCTGCTCGCGCCTCATACGTCAGCGACTGCCCGGAGGCAGCCGATGCAGCCTTGGCTTCACCATCCAAGAGCAGCTGGAGACCTGCCTTGTGGCTCAGGAGCACTGGGATGCTATGGCGGTTCTTGCCTTCCAAAAAGAGCAGACCGAGGAGCTGCCAGCTCATCCAGGGCAACACCCAAAGCTAGCAGACATCTCAGAAATGCAGATTATAATTTTCTATTTCATTCCCCAACCATGGTGGAATTTCTTCCCTAGAAGGGGAGCTGTGAGGATAAACTCATTAACATCTGTGAAGTACAGATACTACTGCACTAAGTGCATTGCAAAAGCTCATGAGATGACTGTTAATTACATATTCAGTGTGCGGTTGTAATGGCATGCATTAAAAAAGGCATGGGGTCCCCACTTTAAATAATGGGGATAAAACAGACTAAACATTTGCCCCTGTTCTGTGGGCTGAAGAACGCAATTCAGAAATACTTCATCCACTATATCGTCATCTCAGATACCTTTGTACCACACAGGGACAGAGTGAAACAGCCTTCATGTAACATTTCCTAAATTGCATGTATTTGGTCCTGTAATCTTACCAAATTCTCTCCATCGTCAATGGAGAGAGACTGGCACTTTCATAATCCAAGCTCTACATGCATTATGGCAGGACAGATCCTCTGCAGAGCAGAATCACTCCCAGGCTTCTTCCAACTAAAGCAAATCTGTGATACAGGGGGAGCAGATGTCTTTAGCAAAAGCAACGGGTGGCCAAGTGGGAGACTAAGCTCAGTTCCCAGCTCAGTGTACCCCACAGAAGTGGATAACAGCACGGCAAAATGTTGGGGAGGAAACAGTGGGCAGCTAGGTAAAATACCAGGGATGACAAATGCCTGGGATGACTGAGGAGCTGGCACATTAGTGCCAAGATACTGGAGAAGTCTTCATCCAAAACATCATAATTCCTCCTGAAAAGGACCTGGCTCAGCCCCTGCAATACAGCATTTTACTGCAGTCTGCACAGTAAAAAGTGTCCAAAAAAGGAGGACACTGATATGTGTGTTAATCAAGTGAAGAACCATCTACAAAGAAAAGGCATGGATCTGTCTTCCAGTTGAAAAGCTATAAATAGCCTTGCATACTTGCTTATCAGATTGGTTCGGCTGCAGGGATAATCTCCTGGAGAAAGCAATGGAAGCCCTGTTATGTTGGATATTTATAACTAGATGAAAGCCTAGAAAATGCACAGCCGTGTCAGTCCTGCACTCATGCCACGAGATAGGGTGAGTAGGATCCAACTCGTCTCTTCAGTTTAATGTAAGGTCAAGAATGGCTTAGTCTTCCCAGCCTCACAAAAAACAAAATCTGATCTCTTTGAGGGGCTGGTGCTGCTTGAGCAGCTGCAAAAGCCAAGACAAGGGCATGGTGAGACAGTCCCCAAAAAGGTCATGATGGTCCCACATCACTGGAGACTCTTTGCAGGAAGCAAGACATGACCCTTCTCTGGACAAACAAGACAGAGAGGTCTTGTTTGTGCCACAGAGGTCTGATGTACCACATCTTGGGCAGGCGGACCGTGGGAAACGCAACTCTGATGAACTGATCTAACACGACCAGTACTTCCTAATCTCCAGATCACCTGGCCTGGTGCCAGGGTCCCCTAATAGTCTGCTTAATGGATCACGACCCTGACCCCAGCCCCTCAAGTTCATTGAACTGTCTTTGCCAGATTATCTGCAGAGCACCAGGACTGACTAGGGTTAATGCCTGTGGATTCCCCAGAGCCTTGGCCTGCCATGGCCTCTGCACTGAACCTGGTTTATACAGGTCAGGACGGCTCCTGGAGGCACTGGAGCCTGACTCCCCAACCACTGCCACATGAAGGGAGCCAAGCCAGGACAGGCTGAGGGATGGCAAGCAGAACAGGGTTATGGTTATCCCCTGGGAGCCTCTGTACATGTCTGCATCACACACGGATTTGTTCATGGATGGGTGTGTGGAGATTTCTGTCCTCCTGGGCTGTGAACATACACAGGGTCTCTTATGCAAAGGGAGGAAGCTGACTAATTTATAGGGCAGATTGGGTTTTGTGATGCTGTGGGCAGGGAGCCATGCCCCGGTGCTCTGTCCCTGTGAGAGCCACTGCTTCGGGCAGTGTCCCCTAGCCTTTCTCAGGTCTGCTCATCCCCATTGGGCAGACAATGAACATCCCAAGGACTAGAGGCAGCTCTCTCTGCCCTCCATCTCCTGTTGCAGACACTCCAGGTCCTCCTCTCTGTCTCCTCTTTCTACGTTTAGCCCTGCTTCTCCCTCATCATCTCTGGGTTGCCTGTCATGGTCAGGGTCTCAAACTTTCCTCTTCCAGGCCCATCATCACCACAACCCCACTATATCCTTCAGCACTGCCATGTGGCATCTCCTTGCCCACATGCCCTTCAAGCCTCTCTTGCAGGCACAGGCTCATACTCAAGGGCACTTGGGAAGTCCAGTACTGTTGTCCTGCACCAGGACTCCAGGAACCTCTCCATACTGCTCTTCCCAGTTGACTGGCTGATACTTTTGGCAAGAAAGTGATCTGCACAACACTCCTAAAGAGGAGGGTGCCTCATATTGCAAGAGCAACAAATGGATTTGGGAACCCCACCAGACCCGGCACCACCATGCCTTGCTTCAATGGTTGTAGCATAGTGAACTCCAGCATTACTCCAGGAACTAACCTGGGAAGAAGGAAGAGATGTTCCACTAGACCTTCAAGACCACAAATTACCCTGGGCGCCATGTGTTCCTTAACAGGGGGACCCAGCAGGTTTGCAGCTCCCTAGACCAGCTGAACACACTCTCAGCCATTTTCACACCACATACAGACCTGTCCCAAAGTCAAGGATGCTCCCAGAAATAGGGGGAGACTTCAGGAGAACCCACTGCACCTCGTCTTTTTCCCTCCCAGAGGTTTCTTTGAACTTGCCAGCTCCATTGCAACCTCCCCTCAGTACAAGAGCACAGAAGGCAGCAGGTACAGGAAAGTAGATGTTATGTGCACAGCCAGAGCCAAGTCCAAGGAAGCAACTTAAGCTGGCCAGAGAAGATAGCTTGGGGAGTGGGCTCATTGAGGGTAGTCAGGCAGGCAGCACAGAGGCAGCACAAGAAGCAGAACTGGGGTTGAAGCTGCGCCAGGGCAGGGGAAAGCCAGCTCTCCCATGGTGAGAGTGCAGACACCTCCAGTGGCATTCTCAGGTAAAGGTGGACCTGAGCAGGAGGTGACCTGAAGGGCCCAATGAAGGCAGGACATGTCGCTCTCGGGTTTGCCACCACCATGCTTTCTGATCCTCCACTCCAAGTACCTCCTCACCCCATTCTGTGCCACTAAACCTGCTCTCCTCCTCTGTTCCCCGGGAAACTCCCATAGCTCAGACACCCATCACAGCACAGAGAGCTGCATCACGCCCCAACCACCCCTAGACCCCTGCCCTGACACAGGGGCAGGCACCCATGGGACCACCTGACTGCTGCACGCAAGCTCACCGTTGGCTGGGCTACAACCCCCTCCCCGTGCTGCCATCTCGGACCATCCTTTTGGGCCCCCTGTCTACATCATGCCAAACCCACCTGCCTCCTCGACTATTCCCACTCCCACATCTCCTAGCCCCCAGCAGACCTCCTCTCCCTCACCTACCTCTCCCCTCCTCACCATGTCCTTTCTGCTCTCTTGCTTTGAGCCTCACCTCTTCTCCAGCCTCCCAGCCCCACCAGACTTGAGTGTGACAAGCCTGTCCCAACTGAGCTCCTTGCCCCATCTCACCCACACCAGGGGAGGTGCAGCATTGAGGATGAAGAGCCTCGGGCACAGGGTCCTTGGGGAGGTGGCAGGCACGCGTGCCGCGAGCACATACCGTTCTCAGGGTGCTCCATCTCCCCGATGCTGCCATCAGGCGTGGTGCGTTCGTAGTGATCTTCAGGCAGGGCTAGTGGCCCGATGCGGGGCCCCGATGATGACTTGCTGCTTGGGGTCTCTGATTCCTCCAGCCCACTGTCGTAGTAGCTGTGCTGGGAGGGATCCTGCAGGTCCTGAGCCTGGCTGGCTGCAGAGAACGTCACTCGGCGATGAGGTAACTGGGAGAGAAGAGAAAAGCTGTTGCATCATGCACCCAGCAGATGAAGGCAAAGGCGGGGTCATCAAACCTGATCCCTAAACAAAGGCAGTGCGCTCCTGCTCAGCGCTCCCAACACCAGCAAGGTCCATCATCAGCCCCCCACAGCCAGCCCGACAGACATGGTGCCGGGCTCCACCCCAGCCAAGAGCACCCATCAGACACCACCCCATGCAGGGAGCACACCTCGCACGGTCTCTGCACTCTCCTGACCCAGCAGCTCCCTCCATGGCTCATGCGCCAGCCTCCTCTTGCACGCAGAGACAACCCTGGGCAGATGCCCTCTCACATTACAGGCAGGCTCCAGAAATGTCCCCCATTAGCACAGCATCCTGAATCATTGGCCCCCACCCTTCATCTGGGGTCTGCACTTTGCAGTCAGACTCTGCATGCAGGCTTGGTGCTCTCAGAGACCTGTTCTCAGAGACCCACCTGCCAAGCCCACCCGAGAGCCTCTTTAATGGGATCACTGCCCAGCGGTGACATCATCCCTCACCTTCCAGCCTCTGGCCTGACACCATCGCTCATCCTAAGAGGTTCTCCATCAAGGGTCACCATCGCTTCTTTTGTCTGCTTGTTAAACATTTCAAAGACCCTACTTCACACTTTCTTTCTCCAGCTTTGCCTCATGCTTGGAAGGAGCTCCCTGCAAACAGCCATTAAGCTACATCATTATCCTCCTCCAAATCCTTCCATAAAATCCTTCTTTGTCGTGATTACTGAGGAGTGGAAAGGGTAGCACAAGTTCGTAGGGGCAAGAGCAGGATGATGAGTGCAGAGAATGAAACACAAACACCAAGAGGGAGAAAAAGACACAAAATCACCCATAAATGTAGGCAGGAGCTCAAGAAATGAGCTATTTGATGGGGGTCTGAAGGCGATCAGGAGCGAGAGGAACCAACACGCCATTTAGGTTGAATACCTTTTTTGCTGATGTCTTTACTACAACTGAGTGGCAATCAGGCATCCCACATAGCTAGCACCGATGAGGAAGGGGTTGGAATTGAGACTAACCAAGGGAAGGAACACACAGAGAACATTTAGATGAGCTAGCTGCTTTTAGGTTGGTTGGACCTGATTAAATTCACCCCAGGTGCTTAGAGACCTGATTTAAGTAACTTCAGAGCTGCTGGGGCTTTTTTTTTTTTGCCTTTTTTTTTTTTTTTAGTTTTTTTTTAAAGAATTTGTAGAGACTCAGGGCGCTTCCAGAAGACTGGAAGTGAGCTAAAATAGCGCCTGTCTTTAAAGATGAGAAAAAAGAAGAGCTGGAGAATTATAAAACAGTTAGCTTAATTTCAGTTCCTGGAAAAATACTGAAACAGATAAAAGAACTCTTTGTAAGTACCTACAAGATAACAAGGAAATGAGTAACAGCCACTGTAGGTTTGTCACAAACAAACATGTCAAGCCATTGAACTTCTTCCTTTGAAAAGACATCAGGCCTTGTGGATGGAGGAGGAGCAGTAAATGTTATATCTTGACTTTAGGAAGTTTTTTGACACTATTTTAGACAATATTCTCATAAGTAATGCAGGAAAACAGTGCAGGTGCAGCATAGTACTTCTCTGCTTAGGTAATATAGTGCAATTCACTGCAGGGTGGATTCAAAGCATTTAGAAAGTTGTATTCAGAAAGTAATTACTGAAGACAGGTCTTTCAGCTGGGATGATGTATCAAATGAAATTCTTCGGGTTGTGTCCCGAGTCCATCGCTAGCCTGTATTTTCATTAACTGCTTGGATGACAGATGTGGAATATATCTGTCACATTTGCACACTTGGGAAAAATAATCACTGCACAAGCAGCAGGCTGGCTGAAGGATTGGGGGTTACAACAGATCATGGGTTGACTATCCATCAACAGTGTCAATCTCTCACCAAAAAATGCATCTATATTGGGATGTGTAAACAGGCGCTTTGTCTTTCAGTCACATAGGGATCTGTCTGCTCTGCTGGGCTCAAGTAGGACTTCAGAGGCAGAGCTGTGTCCAGTCTGGGCACCACTTTCAAGAACACGTGCACCAGTTAAGCAGAGAGGAACAGAAAAAAGTAGCTGTTAGAAATCGTAACAAACCATGAAAATACTGAGGAAACTGGTTTGGGGAGGAGAAGGCTAAGGGTGGCAAAGCCAGCACTCTTCAAGCTCATAAGAGCCTTCTGCAAAGAGAAAGGTGCTGCTTTTGACCATGGACAGGCAAGAAGGAATGACTTTCACCTGCAGCAAGGAAAATTGAAGTTAGCCACTACGGAAAAAAATACAATGGTAGGTTTAGCCAAGTGTGATAGATTGCCAAAGCAGAAGGTGCAATCTTTCTCATGAAGGGATAGGCAAGCACCTCTCGGGAGGTCTTCGTGTACAGCTCTGGAGGAGCTGAGGTCAAGGCAGTCCTGTCCACAGCAGAACTCTGTGCAGATGACCCTGCCAAGGTCATCTCCCAGCCCACTTTGTAAGCTGTGCAGCTGTGTAAAGCCTGCAAAAGCCTTCACTGCACAGACATCACTGCCCACCATGCCAGGCAATGCTGTCCCACAGCTTCCTCCTGCACCCTGACTGCCTGTCTAAAACTGCTTTCCTCCATCACTGTGGCTCATCCCTAGCTCAAAGCTTCTACTTTCAGTCTGTGCTCATAAAACCCCAGACAAACAACTAGGGCTCCTTGGGGTGCCTGCAATAATACAAACAAACAGCCTCAGAAACCCAGCCTGTGACAGCTACTATCCCTCCCCCGAGGGGTCTCCTTCCAAATAGCATTACTTTTACCTAAAAAACACCTCCTTTAAATGTCAGATCCTGCCTGGCAGCCCTTGAAAGGGCTCTTCTCCTCACTGCAGGGCAAAGGCAATCCACATACAACCCTGCTCCCCTCCAACGCTTCACGGCAGCATGGCACTGACAGGGGTCAGTGCCTCCTCGTACTCTGCGCGGTCCTAGTAGTAGCTTGTGTCTGGCTGAAGCTCTCCACCCGAAGCGCCTTGTTCTGGAGTCATGGAAAGACTCTGAATCCATTTGTCTGGCACTGACTTACAGAAATTGGGTTTTGTTTGACCTTTCTCTGCTAGGTTAAAGAGCCTTTCAGCACATGGTGTTTTCTACACAAGAAGTTGCTTGTACAGTGCAATCAAAGCATGCCTCAATCTTCTTTTTGAGAAGTTAAACAAACCAGGTTCCTTAAGTCTCAACCTGCAAGCCAGAAAATCAGTTTTTGTGGCCCTCATCTTTACTTGCCCCGGTTTTTCCCCATTCCTCATCAGAGGTGATCCCTGCAGGACTGCTGGTGCCATTTCACCAGGGCTTTCTGCAGAGCCTTTCTTCTCCTCCTACCTCTCAGGTTTTTTCATCTGAGGACTGTATTAGCCCTTTGGCAGGAGCACTGTGAGTGCTCACACTGAGCTACTCATGCAGTGTGACCCTTAAATCCATTTTAAAGTCAGTGCTTTCCAGGATATAAACCAGCATTCCCTATTTCTCAATGTACAGCTTTGCATTTGCCTGTGTTAAAATGCACTTTGTTTAAATGGGCTCAGTTTACCAAGCAATCTGGATTGCTCTGCATGACTGCTCTATCCTCATCATGATCTCCCACTCCACCAATCTCCGTGTCAGCTGCAAATTTTATCAGCGGTGATTTTATATTTACTTCCAGATCATTGATTACAACGTTGAATGGCAGCGGGCACAGTACTGCTGCCGAAGAGCTCCTCCAGGAGAACCTTGTTCCACAAGGACTCCCAACCAACGACTGCTTTTCTTCACTAAGCTGATAAACCCGATCTTCATCTATCTAACAATGCTTTACTTATAATGAGTAGTGTTAATTCAAAATAATAACAATAATAACAACATAACACATTATCAACTCGGCGTCTTCATCAAACTCCAAGTTGATCAGCTGCATGCTGTAATCTCACACCAACATAAAACAAGCTCTGCTGCTTCAGACCCACAGGTACGCCTAGAGCAGATCCTGTTCCTCACAGTGGCCAGGAACAGATGCCTAAGGAAAGGTTTAAAAGCTGGACCTGTCATGTAATGACACTGCCCAGTATCCCTTCCCATCAAACTGCATTGACTGACGTCAGTGCTATTTCCATCATTGAGTTTCCTGCCTTAGCTATTAATCCAGTTGTTCCCTGGGGCTGGCGAGGACAGTGTGCAGTGCACACAGCATCCCCATCACTATTTCCAGCTGGCTCACGGCATCACTGCCCTCCCACTCCTCCTGGCCCATCCCGGCGTCCCCAGCTCCATTAACACTCCCAGATCAGAGAGCTCCTACTCCAGACCTTTGAAGATTGTTTGGCACAAATTATTTTATTTGATTATTTCAAATATCACTATTTCAAGGAGATCATATTTTTAATATCTTTGCTGGTTACCAATGCATTGGCATTTATTGAATACTTCTGCATTTTTCTACATAATTAACAATTTTGCAATCTCCATTTGGAAACGACAGTTACTAGATTCCACCTCTTTCTAGCACATTTTTTAAAGTACTCCTTTTTGTGTTTAGCTTGTCAAAATTGATTTTCCCCCAATGTTTCTGGCTTTCCTTGTCAATTTTCTACACTCCATAACTACTCATTTCTACTAATTGCTATATACTCCCTCCCTTCCCCCCCCCCCCCTCCCCCCCAGTATTTATTGTTTTTCTATTTCTAACTGCTGTCTCCACTTTGCCACTGCACTAGAATGGGATCTGGGGCAGAGCTGTTTATTTTCTTAGCTGAGGAACTGTGGCTCTCAAAAAACTCCTTTCAAGGGCTCCCCAGTGCTCACTCTTATATTCCTGATGGGGAGACCTGCCTGTGCCAGCCTGTACATCTGAGGAGCAAACTGAGCCCCCGTCCCTGACTTTCCACAGGGAGCACCGGCAGTTGCCTCCAGCAACGGCGGATGCTCTGATGAAGACATCCATCCCCTGGTAAATCCTGCGGGTTTCTGTTGTGCTGCAGCTCAGTTT